AGTCTTGAAACTTTCCGATCGCACCTCGTAATTTAAACATAATATCAAAATACTTGCGATCGGCGAGGCTGTATGTTGTTTAGGCTTAAGTAATTTTAATTTTCTCAAAAAAATTTACATTCTGCGTCACTTTTCAGATATAGCTGTAGGAGCCTTTAAATCCGGACACGCCGTTGTACTCGCGAGCCATCCAGTCGTCACCTTCCTACCTGTTCTAACAACTAATACCAGAAGTGTTAGTCTTAAGATGTTCAATTTCTCTTGTACTGCCTGTCTAACATACACAGGCAACCACGTTCCAGATTCGGTGGGTAAGTCTAATTTCAAATACTTTACGACGTAGTTAAGTCTCTGTGACGTAAGCAATTTGGGAAATCGCGTAATAAATTAGTAGCTTGTTATAATTTGACGTAAACTTTACTGGCGATAATTAAACACACTGGAAGTTATAAAATAGTCAGACATAAGAAAAAATGTTCCTCAGCCATGAATATGACATGCAAATCGATTATATTTGAAGCTGAGATCGTTTTTCTACATAGACGTAATCAAAACTTTTTCAATATCTGTTTTCATTATCGAGTATTGTGTTTCTTGCTGCTGAACAGATGCTAAAGTGACAATGCAAGTTGATTTGTCCTTCGGTAGAGCTAATTTCATCTCGAAGGAGTTCAACAAAGCCAACACTTACACTTATAATGTTACACTACACCGTGGGACGAATTGGTGTAAAGATTTGATGGTTCAAAATAAAGTAAGTTAATTTTAAGATTATAGGATTTCATATTTAGTGATTTACGTGTTTAATTTAAGCTTCGATATTTAATAACAAAATAATTCATATATTATGCGTTGAATTATAAAGTAAACTTTATTTTTTTATGGTTTATCTTACATTTAAGATCCCAATATAATGAACTCAAAATATGTTTTAAACTTTTCTGTTGAAGTTTTATCTCCAGATTTGACTAAAATCTAGTTATACGTAAGTCTGGATCGCATACCAGTGTAATCACTAGGTACAGACTGCACTTCCAAGGATCGATTCCTCGCCGCTACCAGCATAACTCCGCTGTACACACAGCCATTCTGACTAAAGGATAATGCTAGCAAGATCGTGAATTTGACAGCTCACCTCCGCTTAGTAGAGGTCGCGCGAGAAGTCGTGGAACCTAAATGCGCGATACGTAAGCCGAGAGAGGGGAGTTCAGTAGTAGTGGGGGTAGCACAGACTCAGCTGCGGTGACGCACCGAACTAAACACAGCTTGAGCTACAAAACAACTGAAGCTGACACCCCTCTAACGCGTGCTTCGGACGAGTCCATCTCATACGACCGAAATCAGCATTTCTCGCGCGACCTCTACCGACGTTAAGAATTCGGTGGATTAGAATACTCGGAGCTTCACTTTCATTACCCCATACGTCTTTATAGTGTGGTGCTTAATTAAATACAGGTATTCCAATGTTTAAAATGCTCTTGACGAATAAAGCTACACAATCTCTCGTTCTGTGATTATAAATTGATTAGTAGGCCTGATAATCAGGAAAATACCACAAATCTTTGGTAATATGCAGATATAATTCTACAATGAATCGGATTTTTCTGTATTATATATAGCCCAGTTTGATGTTTTATTGTTTAAATTGTATCTGGTTGAGTTATCAGTAATGACACCAGATGGAAAAATATTTTCTGCAAGTGCTGCTATCATAAGGCACTTTTAGAAGTAATACTCTTTAATTTCAAAGGGCTTTTTGCATACATCTTAAAATACTGTACAGGTATATAGTATATTGGATGATGGTAATAATTTAATCGTGCAGAAACAATATGATATATAATTTTATTAACAAAATATACATTTCGAAATGTAATAATAAAATGTTTATGTGTTTTATTAGCAGCGTGCTTCAGGTAGAACACAGCCATTAATTTTGGCTATGATATATGAACTAGCTAATGATCCAATTAAAGATACTACAGGTAAGTCGAATTATTAAACTTATACTTTCTTGAGTGAATAGTTTATTATACTATATAATTAAGACACGCATATGAAAAAACATAATTTCTCATATTGCGCAAGAACATGGCATGACATTGTTTGCAAACAGACTGCTGAACAGAATATTTGAACTTAAGAGGAAGAATAGATTGAGATGTTTCATAATTTATACTCTACAAGTTCTCTGAAAAGCAAAGCCAATTCGCGTTGGCGTTTTGATTGAGTTTGGAATACAAAAGAAACTTGTTACGTTAGTTAAGATGCGTATGGACGAGGTATTTAGTAGAGTTCGTATAGGTAACTTTCTGTCGAATCCCTTCCCAGTGCACAATGACCTAAAACAGGGGGATGCTTTATCCCCAATGCTTTTTAATTTTGCTCTAGATTCTAGAGTCTAGAACGTCATCAGGGAGGTCAGAGGGAATCAGGAAGGGCTCGAATTGAATGGTCTGCACCAAGTACTTACTGGTCTATGCTGATTATGTAAATTTGCTGTAGGATGGTGTGGGTACCACAACCAAGAATGCAGAAACTCTCCTACAAGCTAGCAAGGAAATAGGCCTAGAAGTATACTTAGACAAAATTAAATACATGGACGTAATACGGGATCAACAACAGCGACATTATAATATAGTATAGCTGCGTCATATTGTGATATTAATTAAAATAATTATTAGATTTGTTTACAGTCAAATCACAATAAAACAGTAAGTTAAGATAATTAAAATGATTAAAATATCATATTATGTTCCATATCGAGCATTCGATTTACATCGGAACATTCACAACATGTTTCGGTTTATCAAACCGTCATCAGGTGTAATTTATAAACTTTTTAAACTCAAATTACAATTATTTATAGTTTTTACAATTTCATAATTTTATCATCTTTCTCGTTATATTTTATGGAAGTTGTGTCTAGATGTGTTATTGATGTTTATATCAGTCTGTGAAGAAAATTCGAAAACATTAATGGAATATGATTGGATATAGATAACAAAATGAACTAAAATAATAAATAATAAATTACAATTAATACCACAACCAAGAATGCAGAAACTCTCCTACAAGCTAGCAAGGAAATAGGCCTAGAAGTAAATTTGGACAAAACTAAGTACATGGGCTTAATACGGGATCAACAACAGCAACATTATAATACGTAACTCATAATTTGAAAGTGTTTCATTATTTAAGTGTCTGGGAACACTAATGAGGTCCATGATGAAATTTAGAGTAGAATTCATTCAGGGAACGCTTGAATTTATTAAATTCAAAAACTGTTACCATCTCATTTACCATCCAAAACAATGAAGATTGGGATATATAAATCAATAATTTTGCCTGTTGTCTTGTATGGTTGTGAAATATGGCCTCTTAGTTTGAAAGAAGGACTTAGATTAAATTTTTTTGAAAACAAGGTGCATGGGGTGAGGAGACAAGTGGTGCATACAAAATTTTGGTGAGGAATCCTTCTGGAAAACGACCACTAGGCAGACAAAGAAGGAGATGGTAGGATAATATCAAGATGTATATTAGGGACGTGGGCTGTGAGGATGGTTAATGGATGGAGTTAGCTCAGGATCGAGTCTGGTGGCAGGCTTTGATGTTATCAGTTTTTAACCTGCGGGTTTTGCTACCAGGGAGTTAGTTAGTTAGTTGATTGGTTAGTTTGTTAGTTTATGCTAGGCCTATTTGACAGAACCTCAGTATCTGCTTGTACCCCTTGATTCCACATTACTGTTGTATCTTTAAGTTCACGTATTGGCTTAGGTGTGTGTCTTGTAGTGGTCAATAGTTTCTTTGTATTCCTTAAATAGTCGACATCTACTTTGAAATTTTTATTTTATCATCATGAATATTATCATCAGTAACATCTCCGTCTATTTCTGGGTAAGAGATCGTACATTAAGGCTTTGACCGGGGTGTTCTTTTGTTAAATCTTATGTGGTACCGCCTGATTCGACTTCTAATGGTTAAGTGAAGTGTTTTCTTCGCGGTACGGTCTGGATTCGTAAATATTATGAAGACGAGATTCGGCTTCAAAGGGTTAACCAGCTGATTTTCGTAATGGTGAGGTGTAGTGTTTTCTTCGCGGTACGGACGGAATTCATAAATAATATTCAGACGATCTTCGGCTTCAAAGGGTTAAAGA